CTTACAGGCTAAACAAAGTTTCAAGTTTGAAATAAATCAATAAAAGCTGTAATATCATTATGCATTTTCTTTAGAAACAACAGCAAATAACAGAAGTAGAAAAGTTGCATCAAAAAATACTGCAAGAATACTGCACAATATCAGTGTAATGAGTTCAATGCAATACCTCGGCTCCAAAGAAACTGTCCAACATATTTTTTTAGAATGTAATAAATATACTCAGGAAAGAGAGATGTTGTGTAGAGAGTTAGACAGGAATAAAAATAAACTAGATATAAGGGAATTGTTTCAAAGGTCATCTGGGGATGTAGTTTTTGGGAGTATTTTTAATTTTCTAAGAAGAACGGGTATTTTAGGGAGAATATAATAGTTTGTCTGGTCCATACTCCATTCTGGAAGGTGGCGGTAATGCACCTATAAGTTGTTTGCCAACCGCCATTAAAAAAAAGAAGAAGAAGAAGGCTCCAGTGTGTCGACGTCACCGCCCCCTTGAGAGACGCTCCACTGCACCTCTCCCAGATTATAGCTGACCGCAAACAGTGCAGCAGACAGGAGGCCGGCTTGTTTTGTTTTTATGACCGAAATAGCGGAAAACAACTCGTGAAGTTTGACCCGCTAGAAGAGCGAGGTGCGCAAGAACACTGGGACCCTTTTTCCAGCTGGATCTCCGCTCTTTTTGGCTCTCATGTCCCTCAGTCGTCGGACTAAACTCGCCCCCACTTCCTCACCGCCTCGGCCGTATCTAGACCCACAGTGTGTAGCTCAGACCACGCTTCAATACTGAGCATAATTTAAAAATGTCTGTGTGAAGCTTACTGCAACACACTGCTGTAAGAGTATAACCAGGAAGCGCGGTAGGAGGGCAAAATAGGTTTAGTGGCACCGCAGCACGGGAGAGAGAATTACGCCCAGGAGCAACTGGATAAAAATAGACCGGAGAAAGAAAAAAAAACATGAATCGATTATCTTGCGGACGTGTCGATGCATCGGATCGTCGGCTTTTGGATCGATGCATCGATACAAAACGATTATTATTTACACCCCTAGTCAGAACCGTTTAAAAAAATTAATATAAAATTCTTAACAAGTTTCAGATCCAGCTTTGAACTGGGATCACTGTGTTACTAGAGTATAACACTTTTCTAAGTTGCAACCATCTGACCAAAACTGTTACTGTTTTCGTGTTACCAAACTGACAAAATTGCTTAAAAGTCTCAAGAAGAAGCTAGGAATCGTTTTCTAGCCTCTTATAAGCTGGATAAATTATTGGCTGCTAATGTCATTGTCCACTGTGAAGAAAATTTTACATCAACGTGATCTAGAAACGGTACACAAATAAAGTGCCTGGTTGAAAATAAAATCTTTAAACTCATTTTAAATTGCAAGCTTTCCACAAGGACATTCTTGGGATTTACTTCAAATAAACAAGAAGGATGTTGAAACTTAAACGCAACTACATTTTCTGACAAGACAATCAATACAATAAACATCAAAGCTGCTTTAGAAATGCAAAGAGCAGGTTGATTTTGGATGGAATATGCTGCGCTGAAATGGGTTTTGTCAATTATTAAAGAAAAAACAAGTTAATTTTCATAGCAGCATTCATAAATGGCAATCAAAGGAAATATGGAACAAAAATAATTGCAGAAAAGAATGGCATGTTGTAATAAGTTTGTTAAAGGCATAACCCCCCCCCCCCACAAAATTTAAATTGTTCATTCTCAAAAGCCAAATCATAGCTACATACCTAATCATAGTCAAACATAATTTTACATTCACACAAGCTTCATGTTTTTAGTAAAACTTGGTTTTTCATATTCAGCCAGAACTATACCAGAAAGTTGAAGATCACCGTGAAAAACATGTTTTAGTCAGAAACATATCAAGAAGAAATATTTTAGTCAGCATGTCAAATTTTTACTATCTGTAGATAATAGATTACTAGCAAAATTTCAAACTGCAGCAAAGGTTTGTTTATAAAAATCAGTCCAACCCTATAAATGTATCTATTTATGAAACCTATTGCTATATGGTGATGAATTTTGCATACTTTGTTGAGGTATTATAGTGCACTTGTAAGTACGATCTTGTGGTACCTATTTATATAAAAGAAAAAAAGTTGTTTTATGTTATGCTACATTACAATTTTACTCAGAGAAATGTTTTACTAATAGGCTGTATAATGCAGGGGTGCCCTAGGTTGTACAACTCTAATAGCTTTATAACAACAGCTCAAAACATATTACTATTGCATAGCGTACCATGCAATCCATTATGTTATGGTATGAAAACCACTGAACGATTTATTATTTATTAATTTGTTATTTAAACTCAAACATAAGAATATTTTACAGAAAAAATTAATAATAAATCAGAATATGACATATCTTGTGTTTTACAAGTTTGGCGCTAAGTGGGAGTGTTTTTAAAAGTAAAAAGAAAACGAAGGGGAGTGGTGGCCTAGTGGTTAGAGCATTGAGCTTGGGTTCTGGAGGTTCTGTTTTCAGCTCCCAAAGACTACCAAACTGAGTCCCTGAGCAAGACCCTTGACCCCACACTGCTCCATGGGTGCTGCACAGTGGCAGCCCACTGATCCCCAAGGGGACGGGTCAAATGCGGAGGATTGTTGTGATCAAGTGGTTTTAGGCTGCTTCAGTATGCAGGCTGTTACTAGTGTGACAGAGAACCTGATTGTTCATTTTGTTCAAACATTTTGTACATTTTTACAGAAAAAGAACAGACAGTAGAGTGCTGCAGTTCTGCACAACTCCATTATGTCTTTCACAAATTTCATTCAATGCTACAGAGATGATAGATGAGTAGTCACATTATGGCTGATGGTAAGAGGCTGATGACATGCTTGAGAAGCTGGATGATAGCTGGACAGACTTTTGACACTGGGCTCACACTGAACACACAGCAGCTGCTCGACAGCTACCGGTAATACAGGAATGTGGGGTAGGCAGGCAGGCAGTGCACACATTAAATGCAAACAGTCTCATGCAAAAAAAAGAGACAATCTGGTGGAGACTGAGTGAGGGAGGTGGAGTTCCAGGTGAACCGACTTGTTAACTGGGTACAAGCAGGTGAAGAATTTCACCCAGTTAGCAGAGTGGAGCAGCTAAGAAGAAGGAAAACAGCAAGCCAGACTAAAAAAACAACAGCCAAAGGCAGGCAGCATGACATGTTTACTGCTGGATAGAAATGCTGAGGCAGACTGAATGACGGAGTTGAATGACGCAGCAGAGTGCTTCTACCACCTTTCTTATATCTGAGATTTTAGATGCTGACCAATACATTCCACTACTTGATTTTTGGTTGATATTAACCTATTTCAGATATCACTATCAAATCAGGACATGCTGATACACATAACCCTCTGATAAAACTGAAAACTGATGTTTCTAGACTCTAAAATGGCTTATTCTGGTGCTTAAAAGCTTCACTAAATGCATGTTGTTTTACTAGTCTTCAGCTAATGCTTTATTTGTTATTGCTTTCAATTTTAGCAAAAGAATAAAATCAAAAGATTATAAAAAAAGGAAAATGTGATGTTATAAAAGCAGTGAATTTTTATAGAAACTTTATACTTTCATTCAACTGTATTTGTCTTTGTTTACTTCAACATTTGTTTTATTAGCCAAGAATGACTCTTTTTTTCCATTTTTTACTTGGGTTAGATATCAAAAATATTTTTTTCAAGACTACATTTTATGGACTTTTCAGTGTTTTATTAGCACCATATTTAGCCAGGTTCTACCTCAGGCTGCAGAGATAACACCTTCACTTCTCGTCTCCATGGCAACAGCAGTAATAATACAATGCTGGCGCATCAAAGAGAATAAAGAAACAGAACCAGTCTTGCTTAGTTACAGCAGTAGGTCCAACAAAGGCAATTAGATAAAAAAGAAAACCTCTTCAGCTTTGTTAGACTGACCATCTCAGACATTTTGCTGTCAGAACTATCACTCTACCCCCCTCAGACTTAATACATGTATTGAAATTACAACATGCTGGACAAGAAAAAAAACATGGCAAGTCTTATGTACCTGTCTAGGCATCAGAGTGAGGACCATTTTTCCAATTTCACCATCACAATGAGGACCAGTTGTTGTAAAGTGAGGACATTTTGCTGGTCCTCACAAGGTGGTTAGATCTAGGACTAAGGTGTCAATTGGGTAAGGTTTGGATGAGGTATGCATTGGTAATAGGGTTAGTTTTAGGTTTAGGGCATAGAAATAGTTACAAATGACTGGAAATCAATGGAAGTCAATGAGAGTCAACACATGGTCCTTACTACATACAGCAGAACAAATAGGGGTGTGTGTGAGTGTGTCCCTTTGCATCCATGGAAAATATCTATGGCTAAACTGCCTCCTGTGTCCTAACCCCACTGTGTTCTCCTCATCACAAGTTATCACAAGTTGTCATGTCTAAGTTATACTACTACCATGGGAGTCTTCTTCAGTGACTTTACTATTTCATACCATTTAATAATCTCATTTCCTTTGTGTTATGCTACTCTCTGCTTTATTTAGGTATTTTTTTAACAAACAACTCTTGCTCAAAGTGTTTATTGAGTGTCAGAATCCTATCCTGAAGTCCAAATCATCTCTATTTTGCATGTTTATGTAACATGCTTTGATGTAGGCTTAAAAAAGTCTAAACTGAATTGATACAATGAGAAAATAAACTGTGAAAGGCACTTTTTATCAGTGATCATTGTCAATTGAACTGATAAAATCGATGCTAAATTAAATGTCTCCTCAGGTTTCATGATTTAAAATGTTACCTTCTTATGTGCTTTGCAGATTATTGTCATTTTATTCTAAAAAAGATAGACTGTAAAGTATGTCAACATAGTGATAGATATGAATGATTATTAGATTTAAAATTAAATCATGGTTGACAATGTCACTTATTTCTGAACATTTTAGTACTCAATATCAACACACACTGTAAAACAGTTCATTAAATGTCCTTCTCCTTTTCACTCCCAGGCTGTGTGGTGACAGTGACGGGCCGACTCACCTTTGTCAGCAACAGGTCTATGGAAATAGAAGTACTGGTAGATGCTGATCCGCTGGTGGAAAAGGAGAAAGGGAAATATCGTGCTGTCTCAGCCTTCTTTACCTTCATCTCACTTGACAAGGAAAATAAGCCTCTAAATGTCCCTCCTCTAAAGGTTGGTACCAGTCTTTTCTCTCAGTTTAACTTTCTTGCTTTTTGAAACCTGGCTCCTGGTAAAAACTAGGATTGTTTTTCTATTTTTGTTTACACATCTACATTACATTTTAATTGCTATGATGTGATTTCACAGCCACACCACTAGTAGGTGGAATGTTTTGAGACTTAAAAAATATCTTAACTTATACTTTTTAAGTCCTGCTTAAAAAGGTACATTCAGTGATGAACTTTCTGAACATGAATCGGATGTTTTAAAGATAGTCACTTAAAACTGCTGTTATCAGAGAAAATGTTCAGTGTAAAAGGACAATAGAAATGCCACAGAAATGTCCAGGTTTGACCAGAAATTGTTGGTGGGTGCACAGGGCATAATAGTCAGAGTCTCATGTTGTAATCCAGGCAGGTCTGCCTCAACATAAGAGACAAATGGGGCTCTGGTTGGTTGATTATGTAATCCACCTTTCCATAAAAGGGCTTTTATTATGGAAAACATGAGCTGACCATTTATTTTTATCACAATTTCCAGTAAGGATTCCCAAGTTAAATATTTGATTTCTCCTTGTTTATTTTCGGTGTTGATTGCTTTGCTGTGATTGTAACAAGGTCATTATTAATGGATGTAGAGTTTATGAACAACTCCAATCTGTTTTCTATCTCTCATTACCTTTAAAAGGCTTCTGCTGTGCTCTTTACAGTTAGGCCTGTTCAGATAGGCCTCTACATACCCCTCAGGAATAGAGGCCTTTTCTTATTTTCAGCTCTGGTTTGAGTTGTTCTTTTAGTATTTTTGAAAAACCATTGATTGATTTAGGGTTGATTTAGATCAGCTTGTTTGTGATTAGACATACATTTTAAGTAGGCATAACTGGAACTCAAAGGAATGCTGCAGTCATAGGGTATATTTTAATATATACAGGCTTTTAGAGAAGAGTTGACAAGAGAAAAATAGAACACAGAACCTTAATTCCCTTTCATTTAATTTGGATCAAAGTTTTATTTTTGTCTTTGACAAGAAAATGCTTTGCGTTTACATCTTGCCCTTTTATAAAATACAAGCAAATTTTGTGTTACAATTCCTGCATCTTTTGATGCATTAAAAATTTCTCAGTGACTTTCTTTCGGAGTTTTTTCCCTAATATATCTAATTTGGCTTTGGGGTGATCCAAAGTAGGAGACCGTCCAGTGACCTGGGCCAGTTAGGTCAGCCAAAACTCCCATCGAGCACAGAACAACCTTCAGGCTATAAAGCATCTGTCGTGCAGGGATTCCTCCATCAGGGAGGACAGGACAGTGAGAACAGCAGGTCAGGAGATCCAACCTGGGTCAATCAGAGGTGAGACCAGAAGATATAGTCCTAAAAGCAAGATGCAATGATTTTTTTTATTAGATTGGTCCTTTAAAGCCAAAGTTACATTTAATAGTTTAACCCAAGTTAAGCACTTAAACCTTAAAAAGAGATGAAGTAAACCTTTGATTAAAATATGTGGTTTAGATAATCTCTTATATAGTTCTTGACATTTTTTCCCAGCCAGAAAAAATATTTCCTTAAGTATTGTTAATTTCCCACTTTGTTGTTTGATTTTATGGAATCAGAGCTTGTTCTAAATAATAATCAGTGTAATCTTTGATGAGGTGTAAATATTTGATTAGTATCAATAACCTCTATGCAAGCCATTCATTATTCAGTAGGTATCAATCAATCCATTTTCTGTCATGCTATCCCAAGCGGCTCGTGAGGGCTGTTGGTGCCTATCTCTAGCTGTCTACGCACGAGAGGCGGGGTACACCCTGAACAGGTTGCCAGTCCATCGCAGAGCATATTCAGTAGATATTAGACTGGTAAAAATATTTACTGAGACTTGCTACATTTCTTTCACATTGATGTAACTGAACATAACCTATACATTTATTGCAATAGATTTTTTTAATGGCTTCCATGAGTCTGTTCTCTGAGAATTATAGTCCTTAATGTGAATGTTTGTCTGATTCAGCACTGTGTTTGTAAAAAGTGCTGAATAACAGGTATACAAGACAGAGACAAATGCTGTTTGCTGTCTATGCTACTCAGGGATTCAAGCCCTGTTTATTATGCAAACTTTATGCACATGGGCCATCTGCTTAATCCTGTGCATTTGAATTATTTCCCAGCGCCTCCCTTTCTGTCTCTGTGATGGTCCTTTGAAATCTCATCCAAAACTTCTGAGAGGTGGGAATTCATCTTGTCGGGGAGCGAGATTTAAACATGAGAAAGTTGTCTTTTAGATCCTTTTCCAAAAAAAACTAAACAAAGGGTTCAAAGGATTGCAGTTAATTTCAAATTTATTATTTAATTCACTGTGAAGATGACTGTTATCACTCATCATTTCCTAAATCTGGGATAAATGATTTTTATGTCTAAACAACTTCCATTCAGTGGTTGAATATTTTATTTCAGTTTGTTTTTTGGTTGCTAAATGCTACTAAGTTAGTTGATAATTTATGAATTTGTAACACTGCTGTTGTATTTGCTATGTAAGCCCGGAAAACTAAAATCCACTGGCCCGCCAGCAACCCATTGGGTGTCCAATTAAACACAACAGAATGCATGAAAAATTAACAACAGCTAAACTTTTACCAAACCAGAAATATTTATATATTGTTAGAAAGCTTAGATCCTACATAATTCAACCACCAAGTTGATTTTATGCACACAACGTGCAGTAAAGCACAATTAATAAAGATGTAGCACGATGTTAAATAATAATTTTTCAAATAAAGTTGTGCTCCTTACCTTCGAAGAGGTCCTGATGCCGTATTATAAGTCCAATCTTAGATTATTTATTTTCAATTTCTCTGTAAGGGTCCATAGATAAAAAGTAATCCGGTATATGTGTTATAAAAACATTCTATGATGAGAAAATGGCCACATAGAGTCAAAAGAGTTTGATCCTCAGGGCTAATACTAGCCGTCTTTCTTGTAACATTAGCTTCCCGAAACAATTCTGGTGGATATTTGGTATGTTTGTTTTCAGCACTTTCCAGCCCACAAACAAAAGTGTGCCCATTGATTTTTGTTTAGATTTGACTCCAAGACAGCCCCTAAAACATAAAACCTGAGTGCTCCGTATCTCCGTACCTTATTCATGCTTCCCGTCAAATTATGCCTCATACAGTCCGGGTTGACAAGGGTTAAGACAACACTCAATGTTTGGGTTTAGCCAATGAAATTAGCTTTAAAACAAGGGTAAGCATGGCTAATTTGAATAATGCAGACCTGATATATTTGTTTTCCTAATGGCGCAGTGTGTCTTTAGCCAGCAGCAGATACTAGATCGTTGTGCAACATTAGAGCATTAGATGGAAAATGGAAAAATGTATGCTTCAAAAATGATTTGAGGTCATCAAAATGCTTCAGTGTGATTGTATGCATTAATTTGTTGTGAAAAGCAATTTGCACAATTGGGTTAATTTGGGACATTTGGGGCGCTTTGGAGATGCTGGTGACACCAGAAGGGAAAAATTCCCATAGCTCTGACACTGTTATTTCTAGAGGTCTGACGTTTTTTGCAGTTGTGGTTGATATGATGCAGAATATGATGACACATGCCTGCTATCAAGCATGTCTTTCTTACTGCTATTCAAAAAATACCTATTATTTAAAAAAATAACTGATGCAGTTTAGACTGTGTCACAAATGAGAATACGTTATATTTTCAGAAATAAGAATGTGTTGGCTTTCAAACGATGTATCACACATGTAACCTGGCCTTACAGTTCCTTAATTATTTTCTTTTCCATATGGGTATGTAAAAAGGTGAGGATTACTTAAAATGAGGTGGATGTTAGCAGCTCCAACTGCAGGTCATTATTCTCTAAAGTGAACTGAAATCAGATTTACAGAGCCAGTACCCGAGTTCATCATTAAACTTTTAAGTATGTGTGGCTCACTGAAGGAGCCAAAGCGAAATATTAATAAAAGAAACCAGAGGAACAAAAAAGGTTTCAAGCTAAAAATATAGACTGAAACACAATTTTACTTTGTAATTTTACACTGACTCTCTGACAATAAACATCTCAACAATTGAGAAATTATTGATAATATTCATCTATTTCCTTGAACCTATTTGATTTTACTTTTTGCCTAATGGGATCTAAGGTTAGAGTGGGATCTAAGTGCAGACTTCATTATTTTCAAAATAATTTAAAATCACATTATCTTTGTAATTTTTATGTTTTTACACAAACCAAAGTTTTATCTATATATTGTAATATTTGTTTAATGTTAAAAACGCTCTTTTGTGGGTATTAGTGATAAGTTCACGTTTCATACTTTCAAAATTTCTACGTTTTTAAGCTCTAAACCATATTTGCCCTTTATAAAAAATGACATGCTTGGCTGCACATCCTTCCTGATGATGCGTCGGCCAGATAGAAATGATCATCACATGGGTTTCCTGCAGGTTGGCCTTTTCAAAAGCTCCTATCTTTCTTCCTATTTCCATTTCACAGAACCAGCCCTTTAGTTCAGCCATTGTCTACCTCCCCCTCTGTGCATTCATTACCAGGTTTTCCATCTCAAACAGACAGCTTGCTGCTTGGATTATAATACTAAGGCCTCTCAGTGATTAGTTTAGTCATTCTACATTTCCTGTTCAACTCAGTTTAATGAAGAACATCCAGTCAAGAAAAACTGAACATAGTTCTGTACATGAATATTCAGTACTAAAAAAGGACTAGACAGATTCTTACTACTGATGTACGTTCCAGCTAAACAAGAGGAGAATAAGGAAAGATATGCACTGATGATATGTAGTAGAAGAAAGCAGCTTTAACATGTACAGATCTGTGAGTGTGAGTCTTTGTGTGTGCAGATCACAGAGGAAAAATGTGTGAGAGAGTAACAACGAAGCTCACTCTGTGCTATTTCCAGCTTTCTATTTACTGTGGGTGTAAACATGCGATAAGGTCCAAATGAGGGAGTGCACATTTGGTTTCAATCAGTAGGAGCAACCTATTCAC